TTGGCTGGAGCAGTGGTTGTATTTGAAGGTGTGTATTTAAAACCTGAGTGGAGTAATGGAGATGCCTGTATGGCTAAATAAGCTGAGCACCGGCCTTTTCAGCTCGATACCCGAAACTGTTTTTGATCATAAAAACTCACCAGCCAGTGCGTACAGCATTACTCTTCCATACTGTACTACATACTGCTGTAGCTTTACTCCAAGCATTTTAGCTGGAAAACCAACACTAAGGTAACTTGCTAATGCTACTTGGAAATTCTCAGGCACCATGCTTCCATCCTAATAATAACAATAATTAATAATCTTCAAATACATATCTCTTGCCTTCATCTGGTGGAAATAAGTCTTGGACTTAGTCTATAATTGTTTAGATACATTTATTAATAATATTTCCATGCATATTAATGCTAAGTTTGAGGAGGGGTTTGCTGTTTTGGGGTGGTATAGTTTGACTGACTTTTGAAGCAGACCCAGACTGATTCTTTAAATATTGCCATCCCTTCAAAGTGGTCATAATATATTGGAACTAAAAGCTTGTGGACTAATGTTCTCTTTATTACAGACTGTATTTACATGCATACTAATATACATGGCACAAGCAAATATGACAAATGTTCACCTTCCCAAAGATATGGCATGTTTTTTTCCCTGTTCATTGGATTCTGTTAGAATCAGATGTTGACTAACGGCATCATTCTGTCATGTTATTTCCTGTAAGCTGGTCATAGCTCATAAGAAGCAGACCCACTTCATAAAGTTCACTGAAACAGTGTGTTAGAGCAGGCAGCTGCTGATGGGGAAATGATCCCCTTTGCCTCTCTCTCACTCTCGAGGATCAAAGCTGTTGGTTAAAACCATTAGTATGTAGTTTGTGTGATCAGTCAAGTTGTTCACTGTTGAATGAGAAGCAGGGACAGACTTGCTATGCGTATTGATGTGGAGTTGCATTTGTTCTATGCAGTGTGAAAATAAACTCTGCTTATACTGTAGATGTGGTCAGTGTGTGTAGCTCTCATGCTGCTCCTCACTGCCTTTTATTAGGAGGGTGAATGTTTGCCTGCTGGGTTTGTTTGGAAATTAGTGTCTGGGCCATTTCATTTGTGTTCACTGTATCGTTGCTGTAGTGCAATAGTCACGAAGAAGTGAGTATAAAGTCATTTAGGTAGGTAGGTAGGTACTTTATTGATCCCTCAATGGGGAAATTTCAGTGTTTCAGCAGCAGTGGAGAACAAACAACATAACACCATGAGAACAAGCACCACACACAGCCTGATAAATAAATTCCTGATAAATAAAGTCAGACACATTTCCTCCGTAGCCAGGCAGTGTCAGATGTTCACGTTATACAAACTCATCAGTGCATTTTATCAAGCATTAGGCTGAATTGTGTAAATAACTTAACTCTAACCAGAGTTTGTGTAAATTTCAGGTGAACTTTGAATGTTGACACTTTAACAGGCTGTGCCTTGTGTGCAAATGACTGCAGATGAAAGGAGAACACACTTCTTGGTTTACCAGAATGGACTGTGGTTTATCATTTACGACATTAACTTGTAGTATGATGTAACCCTTTATGATTAACGCACACTTTTCTATGTAAAGTGTGTGCTCTAACTTGTGTTTGTTTTGTACCGCACCAGTCAGTGACATCACTGTATGATTGAAAGAAGTGAGAAGAGCAGCCAATGAGTCAGTGGCCCTTTAAAATGATGTGTGAATGAATGCACACGTTTGCACTAGTTTATGCTGTTTGTGCAGCACTGTACATAAATGGGATAAGATGGTGAGACGACAGATCCTGGTTCAAAGCACATTACTGCCTTTTGCCATGTATATTTTTTGTAGATGTTGACATAACTAACAGTGAGTGCTGTATCAGCATGATCAAGTTGTACCTTCCATCAAAACAGTGACTGTAATCATGGGGATTGTCACTATCATTCTTCGTTTGAATGGGCTTTGGATTTTGACTGTAGTTATACACAACCAGCTCCATTTTATTTATTTATTTTTGTCTTTGTCCTTTACTGTCAATGAGAAGCACAAACTCACTGAGATAGGTGGCAACGATGTCATGGTTTTATATATGTTTTTGTCAGCTGTGACTAGTAGAGTTGCAACGGTATGAGATTTTCAAGATATGATAACTGTCTCAGAAAATATCACGGCCTCACTGTATTGTGGTATACAGTATTATACAATTACTATTATTAAAAGCTACAGCAACTCTCAAGGAATGAGAACAAAAGGGTCTTGTTTTATTGCAAGTGGCTGTTCCAGTTGATTGAGCTGGATTGACCTCAAAGAGTAAACAGAATTATAAACATAATTTAAAAAATACCATAATAACTATAACATGTTATATAACTAAAGCATGTTAGTTTGTGTGTTAGCACCAGTAGTAGAGGAAGTATTCACATACTTTACTTAAGTACTATTATCACACTGTAAAGGTAGCCTACTCTGTTACAAGTAGGCTACATGCATTCCTGAATGATAAGTGAGGAGTTTTCAGAACCTCTGGAACATTGAAAATGTTCAGTAAAATTAAGTATTACCACAAAAATGTACTTAAAGTATTAAAATCAGAAGTAGGCTACTCAGTGCAGAAAAATGTTAAATTGTATACCCTGTACTGTTATACTAGTAAACCATTATGAAAATAGTTGCTAATTTATTGTAGGTGTGAAACAGCGTAGCCAGGCAGATCCTGTCTGTACCTTCGCTCTCACTCACTAGTAATAATGAAGTAATAAACGTGACAGGTACTTTGATCTGCATGGAGGAATGGTGTTCTTGAAGGTGTTTGTCTTTGAGATATCCAAAGTAATCCTACACTGCTGATTTAAATTTCTTTTTTTGGTGGATGGAGTTTGGTGATTTCAGCCTCCTCTCTGCTATTTGTCCACTGCATGTGTGTGGTGCTGTTTGCAGGGTCTAACAGGCAGTGGGGAAAGAAAGGTGCACATGCATTATGTTGGTTTTGTTTTATTTATTTTTTTATTGAAACAAAGTAACACATTAACAAAACAGTACCGAACATGGGAGACAGGACAACAGTTACATGACATTACAAAACGATATAGAGTGTTTAACAAGGTTGTAGTGTGTGAAGTGTGGGTATTTCCAACTTATGCAGTCTACGAAATGCAAGAAAGGGAAAAGGAGAGAAAATAAATAACTAAAAAATTACCAATAATAATAATGATGATAACAGTACTAATAAAACCAGCTTGTTACATTTCTATAGAATGTGATGTATTCTGTCAGAAGGTTGGTCCAGTGGTTTATGTGTAGTGATTTGTTTGATTTCCAGTTTTGAAAGATTGTTTTCTTGGCAATAGCTAGAGAAATGAGGAGTGGGTTTTTGTATTAGATTGGTAGGTGGTCAACGTCTGTGATATTACCGAGTAAGCAAAGTGATGGAGTAGGAGGGATTCTACAGCCCAAGATGGTGGAGAGTTTGTCACTGCTATCCTGAGGGAATAAACTCATTGGCAGATCCAAGTAGCATGAAAGTAACTGTCGGTGCAATCTAGAGTGCATTGTGAGCAGATGTCTGTGTCGGTGAAACCAATTTTTAATATTTTACTTTATTAATTTGGAGGGTTGTAGTGGGTTATTGGTTACACTAATCTTTGACTTAATTATGGATTTTAGCTGATTGTACTGGAGGAACTGTTCTCTCTGAACTCTGTACTTCTGGATCAGTGTATTAAATGATATGAACTGGTTATTTTCAAATAGGTGATATAAGTGAGTGATTCCTTTGTGTTGCCATG